GATGCAGGCAAGATTGTGGAGAAAAAGATATGCATATACACTGGTGATGGGAGTGTAAATTAGTTCAGCTATTATGGAAAACAGTGTGGTGATTCCTCAAAGACCTAAAATTAAAACTACCATTCAACCCAGCAATCCCATTACTGCGTATATACCCAAATGAATAAAATTGTTCTATCATAAAGACACATACATGCATATGTTCATTGCAACACTATTTACAGTAACAAAGATATAGGATCAACCTAAATGCCTATCAGTGCTAAACTGGATAAAGAAAATGTGGTACACATACACTATGGAATACTACGAAGTTAAAAAAAAGAATGAGATCATGTCCTTTTCAGGGACATGGATGGAGCTAGAGGCCATTATCCTTAGCCAACTAATGAAGGAACAGAAAACCAAATACTGCATGTTCTCACTTATAAGTGGGAGCTAAGTGATGAGAACACATGGACATATAGAGGGGAACAACACACACTGGACACTATTGGAGGTTGGAGGGTTGGAGGAGGGAGAGGATCAGGAAAGACAATTAATGAGTACTAGGCTTAATACCTGAGTGATGAAATAATCTGTATAAAAAACCCCCATGACATAAGTTTACCTGTAAAACAAACCTGAACATATACCCCTGAACTTAAAATAAAAGCTAAAAAAGAAACGATTTTAATAACTTCCTAACATGTTTCTCCTTTTTTATCATAAAGATCATACAACAATATTAACAATACTTGGAAGTTATGAAAATGTTACTTGCAATTGGTCCTCCCAAACAAAACATGTGTATTCATCTCCAGTAGTCATCCATAGATGTTTGTCTCCTTGTATCACTGTAATTAGAGCTCATGTGTTTATCAGAACCATTTTCCTGGTTGCTCCATAGTCTTCATAATTATCCTTATACTGACTGCCTGGTATCTCATGAGGTACATCATTTTTCCTTCCCTTACTGCTAGCTACTTTGATTCTTTAATTTTTATCCTGTTATAAAAATAAAATAAGGTTTTATGCTTCTTTTTAAAAATTAACATCTGGGACTGGCGCGGTGGCTCATGCCTGTAATCCCAGCACTTTTGGAGGCCAAGGTGGGTGGATGACCTGAGGTCAGGAGTTCGAGACCAGCCTGGCCAACATGGAGAAACCTTGTCCCTACTAAAAATATAAAATTAGCTGGGCATGGTGGCACATGCCTGTAATCCCAGCTACTTGGGAGGCTGAGGCAGGAGAATTGCTTGAACCCAGAGGCGGAGGTTGCAGTGAGCTGAGATCGTGCCATTGCACTCCAGCCTGGGGAACAAGAGCAAAACTTCACCTCAAAAAAAAAAAAAAAAAAAAAAAAGTTAACATCTGTTAGGTTCAATTCACAGAAATGGCTTTACTGGAAACTTTTCCTACGGAAATATTTTCTCTGTGGCATCATCGGAAGTCTTAAGTTGCCCAATATTATGGTCTACCTTCAGTAGACAGGTAAATCTGCTGAGTTTACTGAACCAAATTTATCAAACCTGTACCATCAGGAGTCACTCTATTTTAAGACCGATGACCCCATGAAACAACCAAGAGCCATATTGGGACTGCTGAAGAGGCTGCAGAAAGTGACCACTTCTAATTTGAGGGACTCTAAAAAATATCGATTAGCTTCTCTCTTAATCTTAGAGGTGAGGATGTGTAAAGGAAGCAAGAAGGACAGGGGGCAGATAGAGGTGGACAGCAGTCTTATCTGTCTTTCCTCTCTGGCTTGGGCTTCATGGAAAGTTTTTTAAAGGAACTGAAAGTGTGTGTGTCTTAGGGAAAATATCCATCTCATGTTTATAAAAGATCACTCTGGTAAGCTCTTGGCAAGCCTGAAGGATCATAGCTGTCATCTTTGCCTATTCTTCATAGTCTCGAGAAAATGAATGATGATAATGTTACTCATCTACAAAAGTTCAGTTTTCTCCATAAACACAGCTGTGTCGTGAATTAAGCAAACTCAATATGTGAAAACTTAGATTGAGTGAAAAATAAACTGAAGATGATTATTTGTACCATTAAAGAACTCTGTACCATAAAAAAGATTCATCATGGAATTCTTTTGAATTGTGAGGTCCATTAATGATCCTGCAATACAATTCTGTTTATTAAGGATGTGCTTAGCAGGCAACTTTCTAAGGCCTCGTCAGTTGCATAGAGAAAGGTATAACACTGACAATTCTACCTTCTCTTTTGAGAAGGATTATGTTTATTTTTCCAAAGACCAATCAGTTTTATGTGATTATTTTATCACTGAGATATGAACATATATATAAACTAATTTCCCCCTTAAATTGACTTTAGAATAGGAAAACAATTTCTATTATTTCAATGCTAGTTAAAATATTTTTGCCTAAATGACCACTTTATTCTAGAAAAAAATAATGGAGACATTAGTAAGGATATGTTTTTTAATCACATCATCTGTTTCCAACATAGCCTTGAATCTAAAGGATTACTGTACACTCCACCATGGAATGGAGAATAGTGGTATAAAAAGTGGACTCTAGGGTCAGAAAGACTTGAAGGATTTCACCACTTTACAGTATATGTTATACTTCATCTCTCAGAAGTCAGCTTATGAATATGTAATTATGTTCCAGACTAATAAGTGAATTTAAAGCTGGCAAAAGTCAGGAAATGGAAGCAGGTAATGAGCAGTGAAAGGGAATAAAGGAACATTCACATCCCCACTGCACAATGTAGGAGGAATTATCAAGAAATATTGTTAAACATGGCTTGAACAAAATGAATTATCATTTAAAACTCAAAGGGTAAAAGAAAAACAGAATAGCTAAAAACAGTAATGTACTTATCAAAAATCAGAAGAAAAAGAGAGAAATGGGGGGTTTTAACATAACTATACTAAGTCCTTATCTTCTATAGCAAAAGAATCCTCAAGATAAAATGTCTGAATTTGTAAAATCAAGAAAAAAATAGCATCATGAAGTAGCATCACATTTAAACTTGCTAATGAAACCACTCAAAGAACTGAAACAGAGGTAGCTAAAAGGGATTCTTTTGAGAAGCAAAAATGGGGCAAAAAAGGATGGTGTGCGCCACAGTGCTTTTCAATAACTTTCAGCTCTTTACTTCTGGACTTAAAAAAAAATCATGTACGTGTTTTTCTTTGATTTTTAACGAAAACACTGCATGTACACACACACACACACACACACACACACACACACACACACACACACTCAAACCAGAATCTTCAGTGACTCAGATCTTGACCAAAAAAATGCAAACTTATTCTTAGAATGGTCACAGGGTTATCTATGGTCTAGAGATGGGTTACCTGCCTCATAATATCTTTCACCAGTTTCCATTGTCTGCCTGCGATCCAACCTTATTAACCAGCTCACACCTCCTCCAGACTTGTATTTTTCTCTTGTCCCTCAATATCCCTGCATGATCTTCTGCTTTTTATTTGTCCATTTGCTCTCCCATCCATTTCCCAACGTTTCCTATCTCTTCAGTACCACCCGGAGCTGACCCCTGCAAAACATATTCTTTAGACTCCTTTGCTTGGGCACTGGGAGGCAGGGATGAAAAACTGGTATGCAGAAAGAAGAAAGAAACCAGGGAATGTTTCCCCTCATCTGTGCTACAGGCAGCTTCCCAGGCAATACTGCATGTTCCCTCTGGTTCCAGCTCCCATCTGGGCACACACTTTTATAACTCTGTTCCCACCTGGCAGCCCCAGATGCCCTTGCTCCTCACAGGTACAATCACCTCTTCTTTTTATCTTTCCAAGCTTAGGGAGCCTGAGAGGTTTCCTGGAGGTGCTAACCTCTGAATTTCTTTACCTTTTGCTATGTGCCCTATCAACTCTTCCAGCACCTTTGCAGCTCTGTTACAAATCCCTCATCTTGAACTGCACAGAGTGAGTTTCATTTCCCTGACTGGACCCAGACTGATAAGAGCTGGTTAGTTTTATTTGCCCATGAAGACTAAGATCTGGGGTCACCACCTTCAGGAAGTCTCCTTGGTCTGGGTCAGTAGCTCTTCCTCTGCCACCTGGGGCCCTCTGTGATCAGCACTCTCAGTTTCACACTGGATTGTACTTGTTTCTTTGGTTTGTCTCCCTAGGGGAATGTGAATTTCTCAAGAACAGAGACTGTTGTATTTGACTGTGTCTTTTGTATGGAACTCTACTGGGCTCAGTGAGCACCCAGCAAATATTTGTTGAATGATAATGTTAGAAATATGGAAAATTTTCTTTTGAAATTGACAGGAGAATTGCCAGTCCTTAGATGGAATCCTAAGGTATTTCTTATGAGTGTCTTTTATAGTGTTCTCTAAATAGAACTGCTTCTTCCACCTACCAGTGCCTTTCACCTGTTTTCCACAATGCCACCCAGTAAAATACACACTTTATAGAAAGACTCAGAATTAATAGTAGTATTTTAAATTAAGCTTTTGGTTTGATAATATGTACATATACACACAAGATCTGGTGCTTTCTACGCTAGTCTTCTCAACTGTGTTCTGTCCTATTTTGTTTAAGAAATTACTAGCCCACTAAATTAATTTCATGACAATCTAATGGTTCACAAATTGTTAGTTGGAAAGTCTGCCTTAGGTAATAAAGATGGATTTTACTAACACAGGTCTTCAATGATGTGGAAAAATTGTCTTTGCTATTTTTTTTAATTTGTGCCCTCAAATATATTACAGATGCCTGAAATCCCACTGCAGAGTTTTAGTTGCTATATGTTAAAGATTAAACACCTAACAATGATAATAATAACAATTACAATTCTCCTCAAAAGGTGTAACACTATAAGCTATTATCAAATACACTTGACTGTATATATAAATTAGTTTTAGCTATTTCTCTAAGGGTAAAATTTGATGAATAGAGTAGAAAAGAGTGCTGAACACCTGAAGAGAAAGGAGAAAGGTTTCCTAATTTGGATATATATGCACAAAACAATTTAAACACTTAGACTTAACACAACTTCTCCACTTACACCTCAAGCATTTGATTGAACAGTTTATGTATGTTAAATTGATATTTTGATCAATAGGAACTCATGTACCTCTCTACTGAGATACATACTTACAAAACTGATTGTTAACCCATTGAATTCTGCCTTGCAAAAAGTTTGAAAATGTTCATAATCTTGACTTGGAAGTTGCACAAAACAGGCTGCAAAGAAATCAAAATATTATGGTTTCACTGATCAAATATTTTGGACCAGGCTCACTATCAGAATATCCTCAGTAGATTTACATTGCCCTGATCCATTAATTTTTCCTAGTATACAGATAATTTATTTTCTTATTAGATATTCATGCAAAGATGCAAAATAGTTTTTCCTAGATAAGTAAAAAAAGACCATCACTGAGACATCTGTGAACAATTTCACATCTGAAATGTATAATCAAGGTCGGGAACAAAAGTACATAATGAATGGTTCAAGTCAAAGTATACATCCTGAACAAAGAGGTAGATGTGATCCAAAGCAAAAGAAATGTTGCATTCTTTCCTTCTGCTTCAGTTTTTAGAGACTGTCAAGTTAGGGTTTGATTGATTGGGGTGGGGGAAGCAGATGCGAACTTTTACATACAATTATTTTATTTGTACATTTTTTAAAAATAGGTATATGTACTTCTATTAAGCTACTGTTTGGTATTATGAAAGGACCTTGTATGTGGTCTAAAGCAGAGCAGGAAAAGTAAATTTATTGGGTCAGACAAAACAATGCTAGAGAAACCTGAGTTTTGGTCTAGCCTGTACATGTAACATCCCTCATATTTGCTGGAGGGTAGTCTATTTCAAGAGAACAGAGTAGAGAGAAAGGAATAGTGACAAGAATGAAAGAGAAAGGGAGATCACCATGAACATATATTTATTGGGTTAAGCGTCTTTCCTTGGGGAGTTAGATCTTACCAAAAATATGTAGCATTATATTACGAACCAGGTCCTATTTAGAACCTAGGTTTCTTGCTCATTGTTAATTTGTCTTTAAAACGGACACTACTATGGGTTGACTTGTGTTCCCTAAAACCTTATATGTTGAAGTCATAACCCCCAGTACCTCTGAATGTTACCTCATTTGGAAATAGGGTAATTGTAGACATAATCAGTTAAGTTAAAGTGAGATTATACTGGAGTAGGGTGGGCTTCTAATCCAATATGAATGGTATCCTAATCAAAAGGGGAAATTTAGACACAGAAACAGACATGTACAGAGGAGAGATGATGTGAAGAACACAGGAAGAAGATGGCCATCTACAAGTTAATAAGAGAGATCTGGAACATACCCTTTTCACACAGTCTCCATAAGGAACCAACACTACTGGCATCTCGATTTCGAATTTCTAGCCTCCAGAACTGCAAGACAATAATTTTCTGTTGTTGAAGCTACCTAGTTTTCTACACTTTTAAAAAATTTTCTTTTTAATTTTTACAATTTTTGTGGGTACATAGTAGGTGTATATATTTATAGGATATATGAGATGTTTTGATACAAGCATGCAATGTGAAGTAAGTGCATCATGGAGAATGGGGTATCTATCCCCTCAAGCATTTATCTTTTGGTTACAAACAATCCAATTACACTCTGTAAGTTATTTTAAAATCTACAATTAAGTTATTATTGACTATAGTCACCCAAATGTGCTATCAAATAGTAGGACTTATTCATTCTTTCTATTTTTTTTTTGTACAAATTAACCATCCCCACCGCTCTCCCTCCAATCCTCCACTATCCTTCCCAGCCTCTGGTAGCCATACTTCTACTGTCTATGTCCATGAGATCGGTTGTTTTGATTTTCAGATCCCACAAATAAGTGAGAACATATGCTGTTTGTCTTTCTGTGCCTGACTTATTTCACTTAACATAATGATCTCCAGTTCCATCCATCTTGTTGCAAATGACTGTATCTCATTCTTTTTTACGTCTGAATAGTACTCCATTGTGTGTTAAGTACCACCTTTTTTTATCCATTCATCTGTTGATGGACATAGGTTGCTTCCAAATCTTAACTATTGTAAACAGTGCTGCAACAAGCATAGGAGTGCAGATATCTCTTAGATATACTGATTTCCTTTCTTTTGGGTATATACACAGCAGTGGGATTGCTGGATCATATGATAGCTCAACTTTTTGTTTTTGGAAGAACCTCCAAACTGTTTTCCACAGTGGTTGTATTAACTTACGTTCCCACCAACTGTGGATAAGGGGTTCCCTTTTCTCCACATCCTTGCCAGCATGAGTTATTGCCTATCTTTTGGATATAAGCCATTTTAACTGGGGTTAATACATGAGATGATATCTCATTGTACTTTTGATATGCATTTCTCTGATGATCATTGATGCTGAGAACATTTTTACATGCCTGTTTGCCATATGTATGTCTTTTTTTGAGAAGTGGCTGTTCAAATCTTTTGACCATTTTTTGATTGGATTATTAGACTTTTTCTTATAGAGTTGTTTGAGTTCATTATATATTCTGGTTATTAATCCCTTGACAGACGTGTAGTTTGTAAATATTTTCTTCCATTCTGTGGGTTGTCTCTTCACTTTGTTCATTGTTTCCTTTGCTGTGCAGAAGATTTTTAACTTGGTGTAATCCCATTTGTCCATTTTTGCTTTTGTTGTCTGTGTTTGTGGGTTAATGCTCAAGAAAATCTTTCCTCAGACCAATGTCCTAGAGACTTTTTCCCAATGTTTTCTTTTAGTTGCTTTATAGTTTGAGGTCTTAGATTTAAGTATTTAATACATTTTGATTTGATTTTTGTATGTGGTGAAAGATAGGGGTCTAATTTCATTCTTCTGCATATGGATATCCACTTTTCTCAGCACCATTTATTTGAAGAGTCTGTGTTTTCCCCAGTGTATGTTCTTGGCACCTTTGTCAAAACTGAGTTCACTGTAGGTGTGTGGATTTGTTTCTGGGTTCTCTATTCTGTTCCATTGGTCTATGTGTCTTTTTTTATGCCAGTATCATGCTGTTTTGTTTACTATAGCTCTGTAGTATAATTTGAAGTCAGGTAATATGATTCCTCCAGTTTTGTTCTTTTTGCCGGAGATAGTTTTGGCTACTCTGAGTCTTTTGTGGTTCCATATAAACTATAGGACTTTTTTGCTATTTGTGTGAAGAACATCAATGGTATTTTGATAGGGATTGAACTGAATTTGTAGGTTGCTTTGGGTAGTATGAACATTTTAACAATATCAATTCTTCCAATCCATGAATGTGGAATATTTTTCTATTTTTTGTGTGTCCTCTTCAATTTCTTTCATCAATGTTTTATCATTTCCATTGTAGAGATCTTTCACTTCCTAGATTAATTTCATTCATACATATTTTATTTTATGTGTGACTATTTTTTATTTATTTTTCACATTGTTCACTGTTGGCTTATAAAAAAATGCTACTGAATTTTGTATGTTGATTTTGTACCCTGCAACTGTACTGATTTGTTTGTGAGTTCTAATAGTTTTCCTGTGGAGTCTTTAAGTTTTTCCAAATATAAGATCGTATCATCTGCAAACAAGGATAATTTGACTTTGTTATTTCCAATTTGGATGCCTTTTGTATCTTTCTCTTGCCTGATTGCTCTAGGTAGGATCTTAGAGCAGTTGTTGAATAATAGTGGGGACAGTGGGCCATCCTTTTTGTGTTCCAGATCTTAGAGGAAAGACTTTCAGTTTGTCCCCATTCAGTATGATACTAGCTGTGGATGGGTCATATATGGCTTTTATTATATTGAGGTATGTTTCTTCTATACCTAGTTTTTGTGAGGATTTTTATCATGAAGGGACGATGAACTATATCAAATGATTTTTCAGCACCAATTGAAGTGATAATATGGTTTTTATTTTTCATTTTGTTGACATAATGTATCACATTGATTGATGTGCATATGTTGAACCATTCTTGCATCTCAGGAATAAATTCTACTTGGGCATGATGAATGATTTTTCTAATGCATTCTTGAATTCATTTTGCTAGTACTTTGTTGAAGATTTTTGCATCAATGATTATCAGTGATATTGGCCTGTAGTTTTCTATTTTTGATATGTCTTTGTCTGGTTTTGGTATTAGGGTAATACTGGCCTTGTAGAATGACTTTTGAAGTATTACCTCCTCCTTTGTTTTTTGGATAGTTTGAGTAGAATTGGTATTAATTCTTCTTTAAATTTTTGGTGAAATTCAGCCATGAATCCATGAGGTCCAGGGATTTCTTTACTAAGGAGACTTTTCATTATGGCTTTGATCTTGTTACTTGTTCTTGGTCTGTTCAGGTTTTGGATTTCTTCCTGATTCAATCGTAGGTTATATGGATCTAGGAATTTGTCCATTTAGTATAGATTTTCTGATTTATTGGCATATAGTTGCTCATAGTAGCCACTAATGATCCTTTGAATTTCCGCAGTATCACTTGTAATGTCCCTTTTTCATTTTTGATTTCATTTATTTGGATCTTCTGTCATTTTTTCTTAGTCTGGCTAAAGGTTTGTCAATTTTGTTTGTCTTTTCAAAAAAACAACTTTTTGTTTCATTGATCTTTTGTTTTATTTATTTCATTTCAATTTCAGTTATTTCTGCTCTGATTTTTATTATTTCATTTATTATCCTGATTTGTTTGGTTTGTTCTTTCTTTTCTAATTCTTTAAGATGCATCATTAGACGGTTCATTTGAAGTTTTTACGCTTTTTTGATTTAGGCACTTATAGCTAGAAACTTCCCTCAGTACTGCTTTGGCTGTATCCCATAGATTTTGGTATGTCGTGTTTCCATTATCATTTGCTTAAAGAAACTTTCTGTTTCCTTCTTAATTTCTTCATTGACCCACTGGTCATTCAGGAACATATTGTTTAATTTCCATAACTTTGTAAAGTTTCCAAAATTTATCTTGTTATTAATTTCTAGTTTTATTCTATTGTGGTCAGAGATAATGCTGGATATTATTTCAATTTTTTGAATGTCTTAAGTTTTGTTTTGTGACTTAACATGTGGTCCGTCCTTGAGAATGATCCATGTGCTGAGGAAAATAATGTGTATTCTGCAGGTCTTGGATGAAATTTTCTGTAAATATCTATTAGATCCATTTGGTCTATAGTGCAGATTAAGTCTGATGTTTCTCTGTCAATTTTCTGTCTGGAAGATCTGTCCAAGGTTCAAATGTTGAAGTCTCCAACATCTATTTTATAGAGATACTAGAACATCTCTCTAATATATTTCCTTTGTGTATCTGGATGTTCCCATTTTGAGTGCATATATATAAATATATTTATTTAAAATTGTTACATCATCTTACTGAATTGACCCCTTTATCATTATATAGTGATTTTCTTTGTCCCTTCTCAAGGTTGTTATCTTGAAACACATTTTGTCTGATACAAGTATAGTGACTGCAGCTCTTTTTTGGCTTAATTGGCATGGCATATCTTTTTATGTCCCTTTATTTTCAGTCTATTAGTGTCTTTATAGGTGAAATCTGCTTCTTATAGGCAACAGATCAATGGGTCTTGGTTTTTCATCCATTCAACCAGTCTACATCATTTGATTGGAGAATTTAGTCCATTTATATTCAATGTTATTATTGATGAGTAAGAACTTATTCCTGCCATTTTGTTATTTGTTTTCTGGTTGTCTTATCATCTTCTCTTCCTTGTTTCTTTCCTTCCTGTCTTCCTCTAGTGAAGGTGATTTCCTCTGGTGATACAATTTCATTAATTGCTTTTTATTTTTTGTGTATTCATTGTATGTTTTTGTTTGTTTGTTTGTTTGAGGTTACCATGAGGCTTGCAAATACTATCTTATAATCCATTACTTTAACCTGATAACAACTTAACACTGTTGGGATAAACAAACAGCAAAAAGAAAACTAATAAGAACTCTATGCCTTAATTTTGTCCCCGTGCTTTTTAACTTTTTGTTGTTTCTATTTATATCTTATTGTACTGGCTATGTCTCAAAAAATTGTTGTAGTTGCTATTTTTGATTGGTTCATCATTAGTCTTTCTATTTAGGATAAGAGTAGTTTACACGCTACAGTTACAGTGTTATAATATTCTCTGTTTTTCTGTGTATTTACTATTTACCAGTGAGTTTTGCACCTTTAGGTGATTATTTCTTGCTCATTAATGTTTTTTTCTTTCTGATTGAAGTAATCTCTTTAACATTTCTTGTAGGACAGGTCTGGCATTGATTAAATCTCTCAGCTTTTGTTTGTCTGGAAAAGTCTTAATCAAGGATGAGACTTCATATTTTAAGGATATTTTTACCAGATATACCATTCTAGGGTAAAAGTTATTTTTTTTCCAGCATTAAATATGCCATATCACTCTCTTCCTGGCCTGTAAGGTTTTCATTAAAAAGTCTCCTGCCAGATGCTTTGGCTCTCCATTATACATTATTTGTTTCTTTTCTCTTCCTACTTTTAGGATTTTTTCTTTATCCTTGACCTTTGGGAGTTTGATTATTAAATGCCTCGAAGTAGTCTTTTTGGGTTACACACACTTGGTCTTCTACAACTTTCTTGTACTTGGATATTGATATCTTTCTTTAGATTTTAGAAGCTCTCTATCATTATCCTTTTGAATAATTTTTCTACCCCTATCTCTTTCTCTGCCTCCTCTTTGAAGCCAGTAACTCTTAGATTTGCCCCTTTGAGGTTATTTTCTAGATCCTGTAGGTGTGCTTTGGTTTTTTATTCTTTTTTTCTTCCGTCTCCTCTGGTTGTGTATTTTCAAATAGCCTGTCTTCAAGTTCACTAATTCTTTCTTCTGCTTGATCAATTCTGCTATAAAGAACTCTGATGCATTCTTCAGTATGCCAATTGCATTTTTCAGCTCCAGAACTTTTAATTCTTTATAATTATTTTAATGTCTTTGTTAAACTTATCTGATAGAGTTCTGAATTCCTTTTCTAGGTTATCTTGAATTTCTTTGAGTTTCCTCAAAACAGCTGTTTTGAATTTTCTGACTTAAAGGTTACATAACTCTGTTTCTCCAGGTTTGGTCCTTAGTGCATTATTTAGTTCATTTGGTGAGGCCATGTTTTCCTGGACGGCTTTGATGCTAGTAGATGTTCTTCAGTGTCTGGGCATAGAAGAATTAGGTATTTATTGTAGTCTTCACTGTCTGGGCTGATTTGTAGCTGTCTTTCTTAGGGAGATATTCTAGATATTCAGAAGGACTTGAGTGTTTTAATCTAAGTTTTATCTACTTTAGGGGGCACCCAAGCCCACTAACACTGTGGTTCTTGTAGACTCATAGAGGTACCACCTTGATGATCTGGATTATCAGGTACAAACTCTTGTTCTCTTTTTTTTTTCACTTTCTCCCAAACATACAGAGACTTTTTCTCTGTTCTGAGCCACTTAAAGCTGGGGGTGTAGTGACACAAGCAACCCTGTGACCACCATTACTATGACTGTGCTGGGTCAAACTTCAAGCCAGCACAGCACTGGGTCTCACCCAAGGCCTGCTGTAACCACTCACTGACTACTGCCTATGTTTACTCAAGGCCCTGGGGATCTACAATCAGCAGGTGGCAAAGCAAGCCAGGTTTGCGTCCTTCCCTTCAGGATGGAGAGGTTCCTCAGGACCTGGATGTGTTCAGCAGTGCTGTCTGGGAGTCAGGGACTAGAGTCAAAAACCTTAGAAGTCCACCTTATGTTCTGCTGTGCTGCTGCTGAGCTGGCACTCAAACCACAAGATGCAGTTAGCAGGTGATGAATACTCCCAGGACAGGGCCTTTTCCTTCAAGGTAGCAGGCTCCCTTCTGACCCAGAGTGTGTCTAGAAATGTCACCTGGGAGCTGGGCCTGGAACTTGGGCCTCACAACTCTGATTGATGCCCTATCCTGCTATGGATGAGCTGGTATCCTAGATGTAAGACAAGTCCTCCCAACTCTTCCCTCTCCTCTCCTGAAGTGAAAGGAAGTGATCTCTTTTAGAGCCACAAGCTGCACAGCCTGGGATTAAAGGAGGAATGATGTCAAGTATGTGATTTGACTGCCCCAGCTGGTGTCGCAGTATGTCGCATACACCCCCAGTTCACTATCTCTGGGCCTAGTTCAGCACTAGGATTTGCCTGAGAGTTGCAGTCCTTATGGCCTAGACTTTCAAGTTTAGTTGGAGACACAGTGTGCTATAGCTCTTGGTGGCAAGGTTTGCAGGCACTCAAGTTGGGACCACTGGGATCCACGATTCCCTTCTGGCTAGGGCTGGTGTTAATTATCCCTCTGTGGGTGGGCGACAGCTGAGTTTGATCTGATTTTTCTTTCTGCTCTAACAGAACTACCCTGAGTTCAGCACCTCACAATTGCTGTGTGCTCCCTCTCCCAGTGCCCAGAGATGCTCTCTGTACCACACAGCTGCCGGCAGGGTTGGCGGGCGGGGGGGGGGGGGGGGCGGTGACATCACTAATTCAGGACTGTTTTTTCTATCTGCAGAGCCTCTTTCAGTGATATGAAGTTAAAACCAGGACTATGAGCGCTCACCTGATTTCTGGTTCTTATGAAGGTGCTTTTTCTGTGTTGTGGGGATGGCCATCAAAGGAGCTTTCTATTCTGCCATCTTGCTCCACCTCACCTCTGTACTTGACTAAGGCAGCCCTAGAAAACCAATAGAGATACTAAGGTGGATGGTCATTAACTCACTAAATATTTAGATGATCTATAACACTCTAAGCACTGCACTAAAACAGGAATAGAATGATGAGATGCCTCAGCTCTGTTCTCAAGGAACTCATGGCCAGAGTTTAGTGGTCAAAAGCAAACAGAATATCTCTTTTTATCACCATATTTGAGGTAAAGTCGAGGACAAACATCATTGGCCCACTTGTAAAGATAAAGAACAAAGGAAGGGAGGTTAAGTGACTTTTGAAACAGAACATCACAAAAGTGGATTGAACTTTTCTCAATTTACCAAGGAACAAATAGTTTCATTTACAAGTTAAGGGTAAGGGACAGTGAGAGTAGAAAGCCTCTTTTTAAGCTAAGGTCATTTTGGGGGCTGGGTATTATATAATGTGTGAAACATTGAAGTCTAAACATTTGTCTCACTCTGCCATTCCCATATTCCAACCTCATTTATATCTATTTGTTCGTCTCTTTACTGGTAGTATGTTTGTGAGATATTATGATGGTGGGCTCAACAACGGGGATAAGAACAAAATTGCATTGCATAACTGTGAAGAAGACCCTAGTAGGATGATCATTAAAAAGTATTTTAGGTACAGAGAACCTATCGTATTGAATTATTTCTTTAAGCATTTGGATTATTTGCCACTTTTACTCTCAGCTGTGAGAAATAATCGGCAGTGTTTGAAATGACACCATCTCTGCAGGACTGTCAATAATTGTATAAGCTGTCTGATGCTTTTGCCAAGTTTTACAATGATTCCCATGAAGACAAATATAAGATTTATATTAAAGGGATGTTTTATGCTGTGCAAAAATTGACCCTACATGACCTTTAATATAAACAGTTAGGCTATGGTATGGACTCCAAAAAAATCTCTCTGCTTTATTGTAAATGTATGCTAACATAAACAACACTATAAGATACTAGTATTAGGATAGCAGTTTGATTTGTGTGTCTTTCAAGCACGCTTTTTCTTTTTGTAGAACATATAAAATATTTATCCATTAGAGGGCAGTCTTTCACAAATTTTAATTCTGACATCACTTGGAAAATTTAAATGGTCAATTTCCTGACACAATAGTCTCTCAAAAGCCTTAGAATTTTTTCATTATTTAAACAACTATTCATAATTGGACACTACACATTAAGTCTTCATGTAGAATGTAAATTCCAAGAGCCCATTACATACGTGTTTGTTCATTTATGTGGTATTTGTGGTAAGTGATCACAAATGTACAAAATATTTGTACCATTAAGCTGATACTGATAAGGCTATTTAATAAAATGTTAAGGTTTCACTTATTTTTGGGGATTTGGAAACTCTTTCTTGTCTTCAGATTTTTACTGGCCCATCTAAATATTTTATCTTCTTTTATTTTTCTGTATTCTAGGTGCAGAGAGAGCAGCCTACAACTCTCTGTAGTACAGTATTATCAAACCAAAGAAAACTAATGCATAAAGAAGGTTCTAGAAGGAAACATTCACTGATGTAGTGATGACCTCCAGACAGAAGTATGTTTAAGGAAAGGTAAAGGAAAACTTGCACTATTAACTTTCCATATTTTTGTAGTTTGAATTTGATATAACAAGAATATGTTTGTATAGAATGATGAACCGAGTGGCACCTTTCATTTCAAAAATGTTATTACTTCAGTTAAACCTTATAGCTCTCTTTTCATCCCAAAGAAATTGTTATAAAGGTATTTTTGAGGGAAACATTCTGTATACAATCAAAGATATTGGATTTAAAAGTAGAAGATAAAGAATAAAATAAATATTGGCATTTGGGAATTTTTACTATTGGTATTGTTAAGTAGTTTGGGGGACTTTACAGTTTAAAGATAGTAAGTCTCCGTGAACAAAGATTTTCCCCATTTCCTAGTTCTACAAAAAAGCGTTATTTAACCTATAATAAATTTAATAATTGAAACAGAAAATTATATAGAATGAAGAAAAACTTTACAACATAAGATTAAAGGCACAAACTTTGACTTTTTACTCGAAGTAGAAGCTCATATGCAGATAGTTACTGAGTATTCATTCTAGATATTCAATTAAAAAGGAATGTCAATAGGAACAATGATTGATTTCTGCAAACTCCTTAATTCCATGACGTAAATTCAAAGCACATATCCTGTCTACTCCATTGTTATGGCCTTCACCACTTCCCAAATCTTTCCACATTTTATTCATGCCCACAACCATCTTAGTTTTTGATTAGGCTTTAGGAGATGAACTGATAGGCACAGCTAACCATCTGAGATTTTCTGCTTTCCAGATTCTATTCATGAACTTCAAAGCTGGGGGATCTTTTTTAATGACTGGAAGTAAAGCGGAGCATATGCTTTCTGAGAAGTTTCCTTTTCTAACTGAATGATTTGGTCCTCCAGACTTCTACGTCTGTAATAGGGCTGAAAGAGCAAGTTCCCAAAAGTTAAGCTATCTCTGGTCAAAACCTCAGCTATTTGGAGCATTTACAAACGGTAGCCTGGATTACTTCTAAGAAATTAATAAACAGAACAGAATTCTTTTTCATATTTGCAGAGTCATCCAACAATATTAACTTCACTGTCTACTCATGTCTCAAATCTATGAGTAATGTGCACTTTGTTTGTTGCAACAGAACTGGTGAGTGAAAATGGCCAAAAGGGAAATCTGTGGCTTGGGAAATTCTGTGAGTTTGATGGCTTAATAGCAGTATGAGATAACAAGTCTAGACTATATAAATTGAAATGCTATTATATGCTTTAAAACAATGGGAAGATCTGGAAAATGCATTTACCTAATTCACTTCATGCCCGTGCAAATACCAGAAAACTAATCTGCAGGATAAATGCAAATTCTAACACTCATGCATTATTATCATTATTCCCAAACATTTGATCCTCAAAATTAATTAATTTGCCCCCTTAGTTTGTCTTTTACAGTCTTTAGTTTCTTCTTAATTGGGTTGCCTGGTGTGAACTGAGCCAGTTGACTGCTGGTGTTATCCACCCAACTGACCTGAGTTTGATATCAAAACTGTGCCAGGGTTGGGTGAGTTTCCCAAGAAAAATAAATACCTTACTCTCTGCCAGGCCACAAGGTGGGGCATTAAGAATACGTTGACATATTCCATCTTGAGAAATGTACGAAAACCAAGCAAGAAGAGGAAACTGAGGCTGTTTGGGGTTGACAGGTGATTGGGCTCCCTCCAATGTTCCCATTCCCACAGAATTTTTTCAAACCATGACCACTCTCGAGTTTTCCTAGTCTTGCCAGCTCTCACTCAAAGAAAATGGCCTCACCTGTTGCTTCCTTGGGAACAGTTTCATTGGCATGAACTCCCTCAAGTTGTCTCCTTTCCCGCTACAAACTTAACCTTATGTTTTCTATGTCTTATCTCCTTTTTCAAAAGGAGGCCTGCCTCCACCATTTCTCTAGCCTCTCAGTATGTGATCTTCATCCCATCCTCTTCTATCCAATTACTCCTTCAGAACCTTGTCATCAATTAGTATCCTACTTTGCCTTAACACAAGATCCTATTCAATTTTTTTGCTTCAAACAAAACCCCAAGCTTTCCTTGGTCACCCATATTCTTTAAAAAGTGTTATCAACACATAAACATCTTACCTCTTTAACAATCTTCTTGAGTAAGTAGCCTATATTTCCATTCTGTTATCTTGACTTCAGTTTACCACTACCAGCTATGATCTTATTACTCCTGAAGTTTTAATGGAAAATTACCCTTGTAATGTTTCCAATGTGTAGTTAAGTGAACTCTAATCAGTCCATTCAATACTTGAAATTTCTACAGTATCCGACCCTGACCATACCTGAAATTATCTCTGTGAATGAGTCTGTGACATCCCACTCCTGCCTATTTCTCAGGCTTTTTCTTTCATGGTTCCTGTTTTTCTTCCAAGATAGTAAACTTTAGGGTACATCAGAAGCACTTGGAACATAGGTTGCTAGATTCCAACCCAAAGTTTCTGGTTCACTAAGTCTGGGGTAGGGCCTGATAATTTGCATTTTTAATTTGCATTTTTATTCTGATGCTGCTAGTCTAAGAGGCCCACACGATGAGAACCACTGCTTGAAACAGATATGCGCAAAATGTTTAATCTACTTTGCTTCTATTTTATACTTTTAATTAAGAGTATCTACCTATTTCCATGCTTCATCTGTTACTTGTATAAGAATGAGCCCTCCCAACTCTATGTGAAAGGCGCAATCGCATCCTCTCCTAAACTCCTCACCCAGGTTGCCTACTACCACTGCTAAATTACAGGGGCCCTCAAAATCATTATGCCCAGGATGGTACATGTTGTGTCCTGCATCCCAAATGGGCTTCTCCATTTGTGCACTTATTCCTACTTATCATAGGCATCAACCCACCTGCACAAGCAAAAAACTTGGAGTCAGCTTGACTTCCCTGGCCCTCAATGCTTTTCACCTCACATGTAATGATGCATAAGTTTTTCTTGCAAAACATATAATGGTTACAGGTAGAATACTGTCAATTCTACCTCCAATATATTCCTCAGCTTGGATTTTCTCCAGTTTTTCTTGTTTGCTATATCACAAATGCATTCTACTTTGATTCTCTGCTTTCATTATCTCCCATCCTGTTCTAAAATTCATCTTTGTAAAATTAATGTCAGATCATGTCATTTACCCCTTATTCAAAAACAAAACTTTTAATGGCTCTGTATTATCTACAGTATAGAGATATAGTGACTTAGTATGACATTCAATATTCTTGATAATCTGGCCCCCACCTAACTTCATCTTATGGTTTTCCCTCTTGCTTCTTGATTTATGGTTATGCCTGACCACTACCACATCCAGAATCAACCACACAGAGTTCATTCATGTCTATATGCATGTTGGATTCTTTCCTTCTGCATGTCATCCCAATTCACCAGCACTCACCTGTCTTCTGACTCTTAGCACAATTAACTGCTTTCTCTTAGACTCCCATGCTATT